AGAGAGACTCACATACAGAGAGAGTGAGAGAGAGACTCACATACAGAGTGAGAGAGAGACTCACATACAGAGAGAGAGTGAGAGAGAGACTCACACAGAGAGAGAGAGAGAGACTCACATACAGAGAGAGAGAGGGAGAGACTCACACAGAGAGAGAGTGAGAGAGAGAGTCACATACAGAGAGAGTGAGGGAGAGAATCACATACAGAGAGTGAGAGAGAGACTAACATACAGAGATAGTGAGAGAGTTGACTCTGCATACAGAGAAAGAGACAGAGACTCACATACAGAGAGAGTGAGAGACAGACCCACATACAGAGAGAGTGAGAGAGCCTCCTGCATACAGAGAGAGTGAGAGAGAGACTCAGACACAGAGAGAGTGAGAGAGAGACTCACATACAGAGAGAGTGAGAGAGAATAACATACAGAGAGAGTGAAAGAGACTCACATACAGAGAGAGTGAGAGAGACTCAGACAAGAGAGAGTGAGAGAGAGTCACATACAGAGAGAGAGAGAGAGACTCACATGCAGAGAGAGAGAGAGAGACTTAGACACAGAGAGAGTGAGAGAGAGTCACATACAGAGAGAGTGAGAGAGAGACTCACATACAGAGAGAGTGAGAGTGAGAGTTAAACATAGAGAGAGTGAGAGAGAGACACATACAGAGAGAGTGTGAGAGAGACTCACACACAGAGAGAGTGAGAGAATCACGTACAGAGAGAGTGAGAGAGAGACTCACATTCAGAGAGAGTGAGAGTGAGAGTTAAAGATAGAGAGAGTGAGAGAGAGACACATACAGAGAGAGTGTGAGAGAGACTCACATGCAGAGAGAGTGAGCGAATCACATACATAGAGAGTGAGAGAGAGACTCAGACACACAGAGTGTGAGAGTGAGACTCAGACACAGAGAGAGTGAGAGAGACTCACATACAGAGAGAGTGAGAGAGAGACTCACACAGAGAGAGTGAGAGAGAGACTCACACACAGAGAGTGAGAGAGAGACTCACACAGAGAGAGTGAGAGAGAGACTCACACAGAGAGAGTGAGAGAGAGACTCACATACGGAGAGAGTGAGAGACAGACTCAGACACAGTGAGAGAAGGCTCACATACAGAGAGTGATAGAAAGACTCACATACAGAGAGAGTGAGAGAGAGACTCATACAGAAAGAGCGAGAGAGCGTCCCACATACAGAGAGAGTGAGAGATAGAGACTCACAGAGAGAGAGAGAGAGTGAGAGAGACTCACATACAGAGAGTGAGAGAGAGACTCACATACAGAGAGAGTGAGAGAGAGAATCACATTCAGAGAGAGAGAGAGAGACTCACATACAGAGAGAGTGAGAGAGAGACTCACATACAGAGAGTGAGAGAGACTCACATACAGAGAGAGTGAGAGAGACACTCACATACAGAGAGTGAGAGAGAGACTCGCATACAGAGAGAGTGAGAGAGACTCACATACAGAGAGAGTGAGAGAGAGAGACTCACATACAGAGTGAGAGAGAGACTCACATACAGAGTGAGAGAGAGACTCACATACAGAGAGAGTGAGAGAGAGACTCACATACAGAGTGAGAGAGAGACTCACATACAGAGAGAGTGAGAGAGAGACTCACACAGAGAGAGAGTGAGAGAGAGACTCACATACAGAGAGAGTGAGGGAGAGACTCACACAGAGAGAGAGTGAGAGAGAGATTCACATACAGAGAGAGTGAGGGAGAGAATCACATACAGAGAGTGAGAGAGAGACTAACATACAGAGATAGTGAGAGCGACTCGCATACAGAGAAAGTGACAGAGACTCACATACAGAGAGAGTGAGAGACAGACTCACATACAGAGAGAGTAACAGAGAGCCTCGCATACAGAGAGAGTGAGAGAGACACTCAGACACAGAGAGAGTGAGAGAGAGACTCACATACAGAGAGAGTGAGAGAGAATAACATACAGAGAGTGAAAGAGACTCACATACAGAGAGAGTGAGAGAGACTCAGACACAGAGAGAGTGAGAGAGAGTCACATACAGAGAGAGTGAGAGAGAGACTCACATGCAGAGAGAGAGAGAGAGACTTAGACACAGAGAGAGTGAGAGAGAGTCACATACAGAGAGAGGAGAGGAGGACTCACATACAGAGAGAGTGAGAGGAGAGTTAAAACATAGAGAGAGTGAGAGAGAGACACATACAGAGAGAGTGTGAGAGAGACTCACGCACAGAGAGAGTGAGAGAATCACGTACAGAGAGAGTGAGAGAGAGACTCACATACAGAGAGAGTGAGAGTAAGAGTTAAAGATAGAGAGAGTGAGAGAGAGACACATACAGAAAGAGTGTGAGAGAGACTCACATACAGAGAGAGTGAGCGAATCACATACAGAGAGAGTGAGAGAGAGACTCAGACAGAGAGAGTGAGAGTGAGACTCAGACACAGAGAGAGTGAGAGAGACTCACATACAGAGAGAGTGAGAGAGAGACTCACACAGAGAGAGTGAGAGAGACTCACATACAGAGAGAGTGAGAGAGAGACTCACACAGAGAGAGTGAGAGAGAGACTCACACAGAGAGAGTGAGAGAGAGACTCACATACAGAGAGAGTGAGAGTGAGAGTTAAAGATAGAGAGAGTGAGAGAGAGACACATACAGAGAGAGTGTGAGAGAGACTCACATACAGAGAGAGTGAGCGAATCACATACAGAGAGAGTGAGAGAGAGACTCACACAGAGAGAGTGAGAGAGAGACTCACACAGAGAGAGTGAGAGAGAGACTCACATACGGAGAGAGTGAGAGACAGACTCAGACACAGTGAGAGAAGGCTCACATACAGAGAGTGATAGAAAGACTCACATACAGAGAGAGTGAGAGAGAGACTCATACAGAAAGAGCGAGAGAGCGTCCCACATACAGAGAGAGTGAGAGATAGAGACTCACAGAGAGAGAGAGAGAGTGAGAGAGACTCACATACAGAGAGTGAGAGAGAGACTCACATACAGAGAGAGTGAGAGAGAGAATCACATTCAGAGAGAGTGAGAGAGACTCACATACAGAGAGAGTGAGAGAGAGACTCACATACAGAGAGTGAGAGAGACTCACATACAGAGAGAGTGAGAGAGACACTCACATACAGAGAGTGAGAGAGAGACTCGCATACAGAGAGAGTGAGAGAGACTCACATACAGAGAGAGTGAGAGAGAGACTCACATACAGAGTGAGAGAGAGACTCACATACAGAGAGAGTGAGAGAGAGACTCACATACAGAGTGAGAGAGAGAGACTCACATACAGAGAGAGTGAGAGAGAGACTCACACAGAGAGAGAGTGAGAGAGAGACTCACATACAGAGTTAGAGACAGACTCACATACACAGAGAGTGAGGGAAAGACTCACACACAGAGAGAGTGAGAGAGAGACTCACAAACAGAGAGAGTGAGAGAGAGACCCACATACAGAAAGTGAGAGAGAGACTAACATACAGAGATAGTGAGAGAGACTCCCATACAGAGAGAGTGAGAGGGACTCACATACAGAGAGAGTGAGAGAGAGAGACTCACATACAGAGTGAGAGAGAGACTCACATACAGAGTGAGAGAGAGACTCACATACAGAGAGAGTGAGAGAGAGACTCACATACAGAGTGTGAGAGAGACTCACATACAGAGAGAGTGAGAGAGAGACTCGCATACAGAGAGAGGAGAGAGACTCACATACAGAGAGTGAGGAGAGAGAGACTCACATACAGAGTGAGAGAGACTCACATACAGAGTGAGAGAGAGACTCACATACAGAGAGAGTGAGAGAGAGACTCACATACAGAGTGAGAGAGAGACTCACATACAGAGAGAGTGAGAGAGAGACTCACACAGAGAGAGAGTGAGAGAGAGACTCACATACAGAGTTAGAGACAGACTCACATACACAGAGAGTGAGGGAAAGACTCACACACAGAGAGAGTGAGAGAGAGACTCACAAACAGAGAGAGTGAGAGAGAGACCCACATACAGAAAGTGAGAGAGAGACTAACATACAGAGATAGTGAGAGAGACTCCCATACAGAGAGAGTGAGAGGGACTCACATACAGAGAGAGTGAGAGACTGACTCACATACAGAGAAAGTGAGGGAGAGACTTACTCACAGAGAGAGTGAGAGAGAGACTCACACAGAGAGAGAGTGAGAGAGAAAGTCACATACAGAGAGAGTGAGAGAGAGGCTCACACACAGAGAGAGTGAGAGAGAGACTCACAGCGAGAGAGAGAGTGAGAGAAACACTCAGACAGACACATACAATCAGAGAGAGGGAACTCACACACACTCACACACACACACATACACACACTCGTACACACACAAAGACACACACAGCGGCCATTCGCATCACATAAGAAATTTCGTACTTTAGTTTTTCGTAACTGATACCAGAGAAAATGAATTCGACAAGCCTGCGTCGCCATCATGTTTACATTTAAACACTTTCAAGTTTCCTATAAATAATCATGATAATAACGACGATGCCATGGAACGTATTTAACAATTCAAATCTTTCTTTGATAACAACACATACGTGTTTTCTGTACTAAATACAGCCTGGTCAGGTAAAGCACACACCTACTACGTAGATATAACGATCGGCCCTTTCAGTTGATGTAAAAAACGTTTGTCTGTCTGTCTGTGTGTGCATACATGCATGCGTGTAATGTCAAGTGAAAGGCACACTACTGACTACCGATCTCTTATTCTCCTGTTAGTTTCCATCCACTACACCTCGGAGGAGGGTCAGTTGTGGGTAAATTATATATAATCGATGCTTAGTTTCACGATACATTGAAATGATGTTAACTTTACGACAACAATTTGTATGATATTGCATGAGTGAGTGATGATTGCTCACCGTTGCATCAGCAATATTGTAGTTCTTCGGGTGTGTCTTAGAACAGGCCACATCTTTAATAGTGAAATTGACATGGTGAAAGAGCATCATAGAAACCTTCACATCTGTCCTACATCTAGATGAAGCCCGAGGGTCAAGCTCGGAAGACTCAGGACACGGCGATGATTACAAGAGTAACCTTGATGCAGATCAAGATGATCCAAGTACTTCGTCAGCGAAGAGGCAGAGAACGGGTATGACAAACAGAGACGGTGCAGGTGATGAAACAGCATTGAAGACAATGACTACAGCCAAACCACAACAGCCACATCTGGGACCAGCAGGCGCAGTGGGAAATGTCCTTGGGGTTGTACACGCTAGAGACCAAACCTACACTCAACAGCCACATGAGGAACCAGCTGATATAAGACGTGAATCTGACCCAACTGGTGCTAAAGTGGCCGAGGATCTGTTGATGTCAGGCCCAAACAAAATCCTACACAGAAACGTCCAATCCAGGCAGATGCAACACAGACCCAGAAACAAGAACTAAAGGGTGAAATGAATAAGAGACGCGACACACGCATAGGGGCCTCGTCCTTTCAAAGATTGACGGTAGCTGAGAGTAGCCCAGAGAAAGAATAGAGGGAAGTAAACCTGCAGACCTTTCAGAAATGCAAAATCGAAACACAGATCGTGTGCGGACATCATCACCTATGCAGATGAGCCCAGCCGGGGAACAAGTGGTTGGAAAGAATATAGAGGGAAGTAAACCTGCAGACCTTTCAGAAATGCAAAATCGAAACACAGATCGTGTGCGGACATCATCACCTATGCAGATGAGCCCAGCCGCGGAACAAGTGGTTGGAAAGAATATAGAGGGAAGTAAACCTGCAGACCTTTCAGAAATGCCAAATAGAAACACAGATCGTGTGCGGACATCATCACCTATGCAGATGAGCCCAGCCGGGGAACAAGTGGTAGGAGGGTCATCTGAGCCACTTGGACAAGAACACGGACCATCGGCTACAGAGGTCATTACACCCTCGGGGACTATGGAACGAAGTACATGCGTCAAACAGTCTGGAGGTACCACTGAAAGGGTCCAGACACCGCTAGAACCTGGACCTACACAGTCTGGAGGTACTACTGAAAGGGTCCAGACACCGCTAGAACCTGGACCTACACCTGCAGACTCGGGAGAGGCAGACAGAGGTGAGATGTTCAATAAAACATTGGAACAAGATTCAACATGCGGTAATGTTCGTACCATTGAATGCATCGTTGAAACAAAATAAAACCCTACATCAAAAGTGTACTGAAGGCAATAGGTGACGATTGATATTGAGACTGTTGTCACACTAGTCACTACCTCAGCCAAATCCTGGTGCTAGAGGAAGTTGGTGTAACCATAAAATACGCGTATGGGGTTAATGGGTTACAGTTCAGTTACTGATATAAGTGTACTAACCGTGTACTAACGATGATGTCATGTAGCAAGGTATGCAGATTGATTATATATCTCGAACTCTTACTTTTCTAATTTTAGCAGTCTATCACAGGGTACATTGTTTCCAGTGAATATAAAATAATAAACCGAAATTTCACTGCCTGATTTATTGGCGATTTGTGCGAAAACATTTTTTGTCGGTATGTTTTGTAGATACCGATGTTCCTTGTACGACTTCAGTTGGGTTTCTGCTTGATCTTACGGAAGGCGGACGTAATAACACGATAAAAGAGGTAATGTTGATGGTCTTCCGATTTCTGACATCAAATGGTATTAATGGAACCTGAACAGTTTTCGATTCGCTCATCACTTCGAAGCTCCAGGTTCTGTTCCCTACAGGGGTACAATGTGTGAAGCCCATTTCTGGTGTTCCCCGACGTGATATTACTGAAATATTGCTAAAAGCGGCGTAAAACTAAACTCCCTCACTTACTAATTAGTTTCCGCAATCGGTTGAAAGTGTGATGATATGATATATTTTTGTTATTTTCAGAACATAATGTTTGAAATGTCAGATCATCCTGTCAGCAGACTGCAAACTGCGTATGGGCTTGGGGCACAGTTGCTGGGATATGAACACTGGCAGCTGGAAAAGTTGTGGTAAGGTGCATGGAAAATATCATCATGACACATAGCCCGTCGATATTGTATTTGCTGGTTTCTGTTTATATAGACTGATATATATATCTATGTATGGCTGCTGTTTATATGCATGGCAGGATATTGTGATGAGGAGGTTACAATCTGTTCCGTATAACTAAAGCATTACTATCACCATCTTAAAATGTGAAAACAGGGTCATATGAAAGTGAGGCTCCTGTTGTTGAAATATAGACAAATTATGAGTTACTAGTTTAAATAACGTCACTTATATCAGTATCACTGAAGTTGGTTTGTTTTGTTTTTTAGTATTTTAAATGATACTCTTAGACAAACGCCATAAAAAGAAATTACATGAAACACATGAAAAAAGACACGTTAAATGGCCTTTGATTATATCAATCAACACAAGTCCATTGAAATATCTTACAATGTGACATTTGATAGTTTGTTTGTCATCTTAAACTGGCAATCAGTTGGCGATATCTCCTAGAAGGTACAGATACAGTGAAACTGCAGTGACGTCACAATCAAAGGATGCTCTACTTTGTAGTCTGGGTATCCAGGTTCTAACTGTTTACAAAGTGAACAGGATAGAAGAATGATTTTGGATAGGTCTGGGTATTTCAAATACATAAGGGGCGGTGGGGTAGCCTAGTGATTAAAGCGTTCGCTCTTCACTCCGAAGACCCGGGTTCGATTCCCCACATGGGTGCAATGTGTGAAGCCCATTTATGGTGTCCCCCGCTGTGCTATTGTTGGAATATTGCTTTAAGCAGTTTAAAACTATACGCACTGACTCACTTATAATGCATAAACACTTTTCGATATAAGTGTAAATGTCTTGGGCTAGCCTTGATTGCCGATTCATGCTGATATATTAAAAATGCACTTGCACTTGCATTAGATTCCTTGTATGTTCTCACAAGCATATCGCACTATGTTCCAGGGAAGCTCAAATGCCTTGTTGTGACGCCAAGGTGGAGAGAGTTAGAAATATCTTGAAAGCACTCAAAGCAGAGGGAAAGACCATGAACGATGTACTGCTCTACTTTATCCACGAAGCTAGTAGACGCTTGGACATTGTGAAATTGATTATGGAAATACATCAGTGTGAATGCTGCAAGAAAGTTTTCAAGAATGTGAACATGTAGATATGTCAGCATGAGGGGTCATTGTATTTCAAGACCAAGTGGAGACGTTAAAATATGGTACTTGTTGGTCCCTGCCTGGCGCTCAGCATTAATGGGTACAACAAGGACTGGTCAGCTCGGAGTCAGTATAATGTGTCTGAGTGGGGTATTCATGCTTCACTGCGGCATGGTATCTCAGTGGGCTAGCACTATAAAACTAGCTTCAGTCTGGGCTAGTACAAGCAGCCGCACATACACATACACACGCATGCACGTCGTCATATGAGCGAAATATTCTCAAGCACGACGTTCAACCCAATTTCACCTCACCTCAAGACCAAGTGGCATTAACCTGAAACAAGGTAACGCCTAAATACCACCAGTTCCAAATCCAGTCAGAGTACGAGAGGAGCTACCGTTCCCTAAATGTATGCAAGGTTCCAAGTGATAAAGTGTATACATACACCAACGTGGAAAACAAGTTATAAAATGTGAATTTATATTGTAATTTGTGCCTCAACTATTATTTGTCCATTTCCATAGTTTGTCCATTTCGCTTTCTTTAGTATTTGTATGTACCGGTACATGTCACAGTACCACCTAATGTATACTGGGTTGCCATTTCCATAAATTGTCAAATTCGCCTTCTTCATGTTTTTGTATTTACCGGTGCCGGAAATGCGTCACTGTACCTACCTACACGTGGCCTCCCTCTTGCGCCATCTTGCTATTTGACGAGAACAGTTCAGAACGACCACATGTAAAACTGGCCACAGACACTCTAGTCAAAACGGCTTCGAAAATCTGCCGATATTTCCACAAACCAAGAATCATGTGGCAACTTGAACGGTGTCCTCTCGTAACCTCTACATCCCACATCCTAATAACAATATATTTTGTAGCTCACCGTTGAGTCCACAGCTTATCTCATGTCTATAACCGTCTTAATTATATCGACACCCGTGAAGGTCCTGGTTAGAATGAACCTTCAGTAACTCATGCTTGTCGTGTGAGGCGACTAACGGGATCGGGTGGTCACACTCGCTTACTTGGTTGACACGTCATAGTATCCCAATTGCGTAGATTGATGCTCATGATGTTGATCATTAGATTGTCTGGTCCAGACTCGATTATTTACAGACCGCCGTCTTATAGATGGAATATTGCTGGATTGCAGCGTTAAACGTCAAACATATATTTTGATATTGATGTACCTCAGCAAATCACCATCTCTACACAGATTGGTTCATGTGTTAATCGATATAATGAAGTTAATGAGTGAGTGAGTTTAGTCTTACGCCGCACTCAGCAATATTCCAGTAAATAATCGAGTCTGGACCAGACAATCCAGTGACCAACAGCATGAGCATAGATCTGCGCAACTGGGAACCGATGACATGTGTCAACCAAGCCAGCGAGCCTGACCACCCGATCCCGTTAAAAGGCTCTCACGAGAAACATGGGTTACTGAAGACCAATTCTAACCCTGATCTTCACGGGTCACTTGTTGATTCCGAGCAAGTGCATGCCTATCCACAGTATGTCTCAGTTTAATAACAAAGCCTGCAGCATTCACGAATTGAAAGGGTGTTTTAGTCCATTTTCAATATGTTCTTTTAATCAACACATGTGATTCTCTACCTCGTTTACGATCTCTGCTTACTTTATTTTTGACCTCGACTCATTCTTTTTCAGCTTGTCCTTACTATCATGTGTTACCTAGCTGTAACCTTCACGGAGAGAAGAGGGATTCACACATTGTACCCATGTCGGGAATCGAGCCCGGATCTTCGGCGTGACGAGCGAACGCTTTAACCACTAGACTACCCCACCGCCCTCTTGAGAAAGTAAACCCCAGTAAAGGAAAATTGAACTGTTTAGGACAGATCTACAAATTCCTCTTGGTTAATCAAATTTGCATCTTACATTCCTGTTACTTGCACATTCATTTTAACCACTAGGCTCCGCCATCACCCCTTGGGTGTAGAGATTTGGGCATGTGATTATTTAGGGAGATAATCCTTTTGAACACTAACTAGTACAATAAAACAAAGCACTGTCAATGGTCAGAAGGAATTCCTTCAAAACATCACTTCATTTCTGAAACTGTAATAAAGGAAAACTTTATTTAGATAAGAAACATGCATCGCCATAGGCACCAACTGTGCTTTTTCTCATTGCAAATCAGTTTCTTCATGCTTAAGAATCGAATTTCTGCTCGGATTGACAATATCAAAACAAGGTATTCAGGCCAAGACGTTTAACTTAATTTACCTCGATGATAAACAACATTCAAACAACCAATTGCCTTTCACTGATATATCGTCCTGAACCCGAAATAAGCGAGGCCAGTGAGACCGTGAGCTTCATGTGTTTCATATTTAACATTAAGATTCAAAGTTTAAAAAAAGCTCTCCACAAAGCTTTTAACGCGGGAGGACACTTTAACTTTCCAGTGCCCCCCTTTCTCTATATGTCAAGTGATATCCCTGCACCTCCAACCTTTGGTGTTTACTTCTCACAAAGATCTCCGGTCGCGTCGTACCAAAAGAGGTTAAAATATGGTACTTGTTGGTCGCTGCCTGGCGCTCGGCATTAATGGGTACAAGGACTGGTCGGCTCGGAGTCAGTATAATGTGTCTAAGTTTGGTATTACTGCGGCATGGTATCTCAGTGAGCTAGCACTATAAAAAACCAGCTCTAGTCTAGGCAAGTACTATAGCAGCCACACATATACGCATGCATGTCGTCACATGAGCGAAATATTCCTAAGTGCGACGTTAAACCCCATTTCACCTCTACCCACCTCACATCTCATCAACTGAGGTAGAATCGAAACAGGGTGATTCGACGCTTACTCAGAAGTTGTTCAAGGTTAGAACATCATAAGCCTTAGTAAAACGTTCAAGATCGTTTCATGATGAATATGTGGAGAACAGTTCTGCATTTGACGGAAGTGTGACAAATATTATGTCCGATGCCTCTTCAGCCTAGTCTTAAACATTTCACTTGCCTTTGCACGTGTTTGTGACAGGTGGCACCTGTGGGACAGGAGACACTCACTTTTTCTGGAAAATCTGGTAACATATCACTGTTTGATAGTAAGAGACTATTACATGACAGTTTTCCTTTCGGCTTCGGCCCTCGGGCTGATATGGTAGGCTAATGATTGGCGAAAGGGAAATTGTTATATCATAAATCTATTTATCATATACCTCATCTGTGAATATTGGAACAGTCGTATTTCGTCTAACTCGATGATTCTGCCGGCAAGAGCAGCCAAAACATCGTCGACAAAATTAGTACTCATACTCCCATCATTTTTTTGATACACGGCAACTCGAGCAAAGGGGAGTAACTCTAAAATAAACTAGGTTCCGTCTATTAACTTTACGCGCGTTTGCGTGTATTCATTCCGGACCAGTTTAGTAGCCAGGCAATACGGCTGATATGGATTTTCGGCCCTAGGGCTGATATGACTGATAAAGCTGATATGCATTTTTGTCCCGGGTGGTCAGTATGGCCATATGCCGACAGCAAAATGGTCCATATTATTCATAGGTATATAATAATGATTCATATTAAACACATGCTCATGATATAGTCAGCATCTTACAACCGACTCTTGGCGCAGTTTTGATCTAGTTTCATAGCTTGACCACTGTTAGTCAATGTTATCAACAATGATTTTACCGCATAGGCGCCCGACTCTGATATATTTATAAGCATGACCTATATATATAAGATATAAGATATCTATATATATATGTCATGCTTATAAATATATCAGAGTCGGGCGCCTATGTTTTACCGCTATTACCACTGCTGTCACTTTTCATACCGTCATTGAAACACACTGTCTATATAACAGTACTGCCATTGGGATTACTTTGTATTGATTGTATTGATTGCAAACCTGGTTTGATTGCAAATTTAACGTTATATCGGCTCCGCTTACGCGTATATCCACTGGTATACGTCCCGAATTCGTCAAACAGTACAGTTATCCCCTAATTGTTAACTGTAGAACATTCCTTTTCTGGGGTAACGCATAGTTTCAATTTGGGAATTTAACATCTAACAGTACCTGTTATATTAATAGTCACGACCTGATCAGTGTACAGTCACACTCCAATTTGGGTAATACAGTCATTTTCTGTGGTTCCTGCGACGTTACTATGTAGCAATTTCTACTAACTCAATATCTATCGGCCTTTTTATGCGTGATATGCCATGTACATCTCATTGTAGGGTAACGAAGTAACACTGTCAGGTGAAGTAGGGCGTGAATGAATGTCTCCTGTCCTATAGCTACAGACTACTGCTTTGTCATCTGAATATGCGACAAAAATAGATACAGGTCACACTCGTGAAAAGATTTACTTTCGGTTTAGCATTTCCTGTATTAGATGGGATGCAAAGGCAGGAAATATTTGATGCCGCTATATTGCTCGTTGTCATTGATCTTGGGATTCATGATCATCTCGCATGCGTACTTGTGATTCAGATCAATGAAAAGACAGGGTTTGGGGAGACAGCTGACGTTTCGATGAGGAAATAGGTAGGTGTTTATTTTCATTTTGTTGACCCTCGGCGTACGAGAATGTTGCATGCTTGGACTAAACATTTAAATCTTAATTTCGTCATTAAAATGTCAGCTTCTAACATATTTACATGACCCATGAGAGATCACACAGTTCTGTTTTGTTAAGACTGAGATACGAATTTGTCGTTTCACTTCATGATTGATCTGGTGTTGGGCTAGTACTGCCCTTCCGGGTCATGGTGACCTACCTTATCCTGACGTGTACCTGAATATAGGTGTTCTATTTTTAGAATCACTTTCCACGTAAGGTATAAATGAGTTCCCTTAACTGCATTAGCTGGCTTTTATAGACGGGGTGTGGACAAACAGGGTATAAGTCACTTTAAGTCTACTTCTACCAGACTGTCAAGTTGATTCGGGTCAAACTGAGTACAAAACAGAGACATTTCAAGATTCTTTTGCCCATGCCTCAGGGGCGGATGCAGCTTTTTTTTAGCAAGGGGTGTGTGTGGGGTGGGGGTGGGGGTGCTTACTTTTGAGAAAAGGGAGGGTGCACATTTCATTTTCACCCGAGTTTCAATGATCATTTAATAAAATTTCAGGACAAAATGTGGGGGGTGCGCACCCCTGCAACCCCTTTCTGGATCCGCCTATGTGCCTCAACATACATATTCAATGAATCATTCACTACACGATCGTTAAGTGTTACTGTTACTATAATATTTAATACTAGAGTACAGGTTTCATGCATAATTGAAGTGAGCTATAACGTTATTTTTAGTGTGTCACGAAAAATGGAGCAACAGACACACGTGGCCTACAATTACACCCGGAAAATAACAACAAAAGTTATATGTCTTATCCCTGCAAATTTATCCATCACAACAAATAAATATGATAAAATTACATTTCACACTGAGAAAATATTTAGCCCATGTAGCCACAAATGTTTGACATAGACTGTGACGCCCTGCAGTGACCATTGTTTACTTCTGCATACCAGGCAATATACATTTGTAAAATCCGGACCAAGCAAGGCATAAACTGTAAAGCTGTCACTAAGGACTCTACTTTTTTAACATATGTTATATTTGGGATTACACTTTCTTAGTATAGTACAAATCTAGTACTTTTTTAGTTGAGCTCAACTCAAAAGTACTAGAATTTGTACTTTACTAAGAAAGTGTAATCCCAAGTATAACATATGTTACATTTGACCACTTTCTAAATGGTATTGTGTATTTCTAGTTTTTTAGTTCAGCAGATCGGAATGATTCATCATGTACATGTTAAAAAGAGTTCTCATAACATATCGAGACGAGTAAAAAATAAAATATACTTTCGATAGCCAAAAAAGCGGCAGAGAATATACTCAATGGAAACCATGACAGCCGCTATGTAGCCAAACGTACGTGTGTAGTTTTGAATCTCTCATTGTGTATGGTCCTGTCTCTATCAAATCCTTCTCTTTATTGTACACAGGTCTGTTGATGTGAAAACTACCGATACACATTTTACAGTGTTCTGAATAACTCACATAACTCATCGATCAAATATCAAAACCAGCTTCCGGAGTGTTTAACGCTTAATGGAGTCATCTATGAGAGAGATACGACCTGCAACAGTGAAAATTAGCTGTTGTAAAACACGATCGATTGTAACGATGCTCCAGCTACCATCTGCTCACTGTCACTAGTTTAGGAGTTATGACTGAAAACCTGTTTCAAATACAAGATGTTCATCTACTTATTACTCATCATCTCCACGTTTCAGTGACCGGTGAATCACACTCGGTGTACCCAGGGAAGTAGAAGCCGCTGACCCCGTTACAGAGTGGTAGATGAACGTTTGTTGAAGCGGACTGTACATGCATAGGGGACATTCATTAGCACACATCTATAATGGCAAAGTGTCGTCCACACACAAATCTACAGGAAGTGAGTGTCAAAGTTGGCACAGAGACTGTCTGTACCATGTTGGCGAGCAACATTAGCGACATTATCACAACACACACAGATGCAAGTGTAACCTTGAAGACTGTTCCAAAGGATTTTCAGGAAGAAACCTTGATGCCTGTGATGAAAAACGTTTGTATCGAGAACACTGTTGAGACCATAGAGAATACAAAGGAGGACGAGGAACCAACAGAAAGCAACGATGACACCATTGATTCCTTATTGCGGCTGACGGCTCGTATCAATGCAAATATACAAAACGGCTCGATCCCACGTAGCGTTTCAATCTGTAACACAGAGCTCAGTGTTGAAGACGGTCATGGCGGACAACCTGAAAATGGCATGGTTGAAGATGGTATTACAGTGTATTCTCATTGGCCAGTATCACTCCAATTCTCTGACCCACAACTGCGGGTTGACAGAATGTTGAGCGAAGACCTCATTGAAACTCCCACTGCGGTGCCCAATGAAATGTTGATGGTTATACGTCACGTTGCGGTTCAACAAAAGATGGGTAGCGAGCTGCTCGGCCTAGCGAGGCAGATTCCAGATGTCAGAATGCTGCTGCTGCTGCTGCCGCTACGTCTCTACCTGAAATGGGTTTTCTGGACCCTAGCGGAGCCTCATATGGAACGCAGTATGGATAGATGGGATATGTCCCCAGAAATAGAAGCACACCTGGTTATTATGGCTTCATGTTGCGTTCTGGACAGGCCAGCTATATCCCCAATCGCTGCCACAACACAATCAATATCAGATCAGTATTGTGTCGTAGTCTTTGTGGTAACAACAGCCCTGATTAATCCAACTGACCATGTATCATGGACGGTGGAAAGAGAAACCTGGTCTGCGCCGTGGCTTCAGGACAACCAGGCAACAGCTGACTCAGTTGCCATGGAAACTCAAGCCTCTCTTGGACAAATGCCGGTAGACAACCAGATTGCTGCCAGCTCAAAGGCTATGGAAAACCAAGCATCTATTGTACAAGGATCTGTAGAGAACCAGATTGCTGCCGGCTCAAAGACTGTGGAGACCCAGGCCTCTCTTGGACAAGGATCTGTAAACAACCAGATTACTGCCAGCTCAAAGGCTGTGGAGACCCAGGCCTCTCTTGGACAAGGATCTATAGACAACCAGATTGCTGCCGGCTCAAAGATTGGGGAGACCCAGGCCTCTCTTGGACAAGGGTCTGTAGACAACCAGATTGCTGCCGGCTCAAAGATTGTGGAGACCCAGGCCTCTCTTGGACAAGGGTCTGTAGACAACCAGACTGATGCCAGCTCAAAGGCTATGGAAATCGAAGCCTCTCTTGTACAAGGGTCTGTACATAACCAGATTGATGCCAGCTCAAAGGCTATGGAGACCCAGGCCTCTCTTGTACAAGGGTCTGTAGACAACCAGATTGCTGCCGGCTCAAAGGCTATGGAAAACCAAGCCTCTCTTGGACAAGGGTCTGTAGACGACCAGATTGATGCCAGTTCAATGGCTATGGAAAACCAAGCATCTATTGTACAAGGGTCTGTAGACAACCAGATCGATGCCGGCTCAAAGGCTATGCAAATCGAAGCCTCTCTTGGACAAGGGTCTGTAGACGACCAGATTGATGCCAGCTCAAAGGCTATGGAAAACCAAGCATCTGTTGTACAAGGGTCTGTTCACAGTCAGACTGCTGCCGACTCAAATGCTATTGAAATCCAAGCCTCTCTTGTACAAGGGTCTGTTAATAGCGTGGTTGCTACCGTCTCAAAGGCTATGGAAAACCAAGCCTTTCTTCAACAAGGACCAGTAGACAGCCAGATTGCTGCCGGCTCAAAGGCTATGGAAAACCAGGTCTCTTTTGTAGAACGACCTGTAGAAAGCCATACTGCTGCCGACTCAAATGCTATTGAAATCCAAGCCTTTCTTGAACAAATGCCTGTAGACAGCAAGACTGCTGCCGGCTTAAGGGCTGTAGAAACCCAGGCCTCTCTTGTACAAGGACCTGTAGACAGTCAGACTGTTGCCGCCTCAAAGGCTGTAGAAAACAAAGTCACTCTTCAACAAGGACCAGCAGACAGCCAAATTGCCGCCGGTCCGAAGGCTATGGAAAACCAGGCCTCTCTTCTACAACGACCTGTAGAAAGCCAGATTGATGCCGGCTCAAAGGCTATGCAAATCGAAGCCTCTCTTGGACAAGGGTCTGTAGACGACCAGATTGATGCCAGCTCAAAGGCTATGGAAAACCAAGCATCTGTTGTACAAGGGTCTGTTCACAGTCAGACTGCTGCCGACTCAAATGCTATTGAAATCCAAGCCTCTCTTGTACAAGGGTCTGTTGATAGCGTGGTTGCTACCGTCTCAAAGGCTATGGAAAACCAAGCCTTTCTTCAACAAGGACCAGTAGACAGCCAGATTGCTGCCGGCTCAAAGGCTATGGAAAACCTTGTCTCTTTTGTAGAACGACCTGTAGAAAGCCATACTGCTGCCGACTCAAATGCTATTGAAATCCAAGCCTTTCTTGAACAAATGCCTGTAGACAGCAAGACTGCTGCCGGCTTAAGGGCTGTAGAAACCCAGGCCTCTCTTGTACAAGGACCTGTAGACAGTCAGACTGTTGCCGCCTCAAAGGCTGTAGAAAACAAAGTCTCTCTTCAACAAGGACCAGCAGACAGCCAAATTGCCGCCGGTCCGAAGGCTATGGAAAACCAGGCCTCTCTTCTACAACGACCTGTAGAAAGCCAGATTGATGCCGGCTCAAAGGCTATGCAAATCGAAGCCTCTCTTGGACAAGGGTCTGTAGACGACCAGATTGATGCCAGCTCAAAGGCTATGGAAAACCAAGCATCTGTTGTACAAGGGTCTGTTCACAGTCAGACTGCTGCCGACTCAAATGCTATTGACATCAAGCCTCTCTTGTACAAGGGTCTGTTGATAGCGTGGTTGCTACCGTCTCAAAGGCTATGGAAAACCAAGCCTTTCTTCAACAAGGACCAGTAGACAGCCAGATTGCTGCCGGCTCAAAGGCTATGGAAAACCAGGGTCTCTTTTGTAGAACGACCTGTAGAAAGCCATACTGCTGCCGACTCAAATGCTATTGAAATCCAAGCCTTTCTTGAACAAATGCCTGTAGACAGCAAGACTGCTGCCGGCTTAAGGCTGTAGAAACTCAGGCCTCTCTTGTACAAGGACCTGTAGACAGTCAGACTGTTGCCGCCTCAAAGGCTGTAGAAAACAAAGTCTCTTCAACAAGGACCAGCAGACAGCCAAATTGCCGCCGGTCCGAAGGCTATGGAAAACCAGGCCTCTCTTCTACAACGACCTGTAGAAAGCCAGATTGATGCCGGCTCAAAGGCTATGCAAATCGAAGCCTCTCTTGGACAAGGGTCTGTAGACGACCAGATTGATGCCAGCTCAAAGGCTATGGAAAACCAAGCATCTGTTGTACAAGGGTCTGTTCACAGTCAGACTGCTGCCGACTCAAATGCTATTGAAATCAAGCCTCTCTTGTACAAGGGTCTGTTGATAGCGTGGTTGCTACCGTCTCAAAGGCTATGGAAAACCAAGCCTTTCTTCAACAAGGACCAGTAGACAGCCAGATTGCTGCCGGCTCAAAGGCTATGGAAAACCAGGTCTCTTTTGTAGAACGACCTGTAGAAAGCCATACTGCTGCCGACTCAAATGCTATTGAAATCCAAGCCTTTCTTGAACAAATGCCTGTAGACAGCAAGACTGCTGCCGGCTTAAGGGCTGTAGAAACCCAGGCCTCTCTTGTACAAGGACCTGTAGACAGTCAGACTGTTGCCGCCTCAAAGGCTGTAGAAAACAAAGTCTCTCTTCAACAAGGACCAGCAGACAGCCAGAATTGCCGCGGTCCGAAGGCTATGGAAAACCAGGCCTCTCTTCTACAACGACCTGTAGAAAGCCAGATTGATGCCGGCTCAAAGGCTATGCAAATCGAAGCCTCTCTTGGACAAGGGTCTGTAGACGACCAGATTGATGCCAGCTCAAAGGCTATGGAAAACCAAGCATCTGTTGTACAAGGGTCTGTTCACAGTCAGACTGCTGCCGACTCAAATGCTATTGAAATCCAAGCCTCTCTTGTACAAGGGTCTGTTGATAGCGTGGTTGCTACCGTCTCAAAGGCTATGGAAAACCAAGCCTTTCTTCAACAAGGACCAGTAGACAGCCAGATTGCTGCCGGCTCAAAGGCTATGGAAAACCTTGTCTCTTTTGTAAAACGACCTGGAGAAAGCCATACTGCTGCCGACTCAAATGCTATTGAAATCCAAGCCTTTCTTGAACAAATGCCTGTAGACAGCAAGACTGCTGCCGGCTTAAGGGCTGTAGAAACCCAGGCCTCTCTTGTACAAGGACCTGTAGACAGTCAGACTGTTGCCGCCTCAAAGGCTGTAGAAAACAAAGTCTCTCTTCAACAAGGACCAGCAGACAGCCAAATTGCCGCCGGTCCGAAGGCTATGGAAAACCAGGCCTCTCTTCTACAACGACCTGTAGAAAGCCAGATTGATGCCGGCTCAAAGGCTATGCAAATCGAAGCCTCTCTTGGACAAGGGTCTGTAGACGACCAGATTGATGCCAGCTCAAAGGCTATGGAAAACCAAGCATCTGTTGTACAAGGGTCTGTTCACAGTCAGACTGCTGCCGACTCAAATGCTATTGAAATCCAAGCCTCTCTTGTACAAGGGTCTGTTGATAGCGTGGTTGCTACCGTCTCAAAGGCTATGGAAAACCAAGCCTTTCTTCAACAAGGACCAGTAGACAGCCAGATTGCTGCCGGCTCAAAGGCTATGGAAAACCTTGTCTCTTTTGTGGGAACGACCTGTAGAAAGCCATACTGCTGCCGACTCAAATGCTATTGAAATCCAAGCCTTTCTTGAACAAATGCCTGTAGACAGCAAGACTGCTGCCGGCTTAAGGGCTGTAGAAACCCAGGCCTCTCTTGTACAAGGACCTGTAGACAGTCAGACTGTTGCCGCCTCAAAGGCTGTAGAAAACAAAGTCTCTCTTCAACAAGGACCAGCAGACAGCCAAATTGCCGCCGGTCCGAAGGCTATGGAAAACCAGGCCTCTCTTCTACAACGACCTGTAGAAAGCCAGATTGATGCCGGCTCAAAGGCTATGCAAATCGAAGCCTCTCTTGGACAAGGGTCTGTAGACGACCAGATTGATGCCAGCTCAAAGGCTATGGAAAACCAAGCATCTGTTGTACAAGGGTCTGTTCACAGTCAGACTGCTGCCGACTCAAATGCTATTGAAATCCAAGCCTCTCTTGTACAAGGGTCTGTTAATAGCGTGGTTGCTACCGTCTCAAAGGCTATGGAAAACCAAGCCTTTCTTCAACAAGGACCAGTAGACAGCCAGATTGCTGCCGGCTCAAAGGCTATGGAAAACCAGGTCTCTTTTGTAGAACGACCTGTAGAAAGCCATACTGCTGCCGACTCAAATGCTATTGAAATCCAAGCCTTTCTTGAACAAATGCCTGTAGACAGCAAGACTGCTGCCGGCTTAAGGGCTGTAGAAACCCAGGCCTCTCTTGTACAAGGGCCTGTAGACAGTCAGACTGTTGCCGCCTCAAAGGCTTTAGAAAACAAAGTCTCTCTTCAACAAGGACCAGCAGACAGCCAAATTGCCGCCGGTCCGAAGGCTATGGAAAACCAGGCCTCTTTTGTACAACGACCTGTAGAAAGCCAGATTGCTGCCGGCTCAAAGGCTATTGAAAACCAAGCCTCTCTTGGACAAGGACCAGTAGACCACAAGAATGCCACAAAATCGAAGCCTATGGTAAACCAGACTCTGGATAGTACTGTTGTCATGGCTGTTGAAGCCCACGCCTCTTTTGTGCCGGGACCTGAAAGTGGTCAGGTTCCCACGGTGTCTATGGAAAAAAAAAACACCTCTCTGGCGATGGGGGCTACAAATAACCAGAATGATACTCTGTCCAAGATTGGGGTAAACCAAACATCTCCAGCTGCAGACTGGGCAGTAAACCACGCTGATAGTACATGGCAGGCTTCTGAAAACCGAACCGTCCCAATACCACAACAGACTGACACTGAAATGATGATGCTGAAATCGGCTGTCATGGCAGGATCTTTGGATATCAAGGCAGGTGCGTGTCCAAGACTTTCGCCACCCCAGGCATTTGTTGCATCAAGTGATAATTCTCCAAGGGATCAAATCCACGTGGTAGACCAAAAGACAAAGACACCCATCACTCAGGTGTCATTCAAGGACCAAATCCATGCCTCCAAATTTAATGAAACTCGGTCCAACCAACATACCTGCAATACAGCTTTTCCTTGCAATGTTGAGACAGTGTCCCGTCACGCAGTGTCAAGTCGCACAGTGTCCAGCCGCGCCAGAAGGAAAACATATAACAAGCATGACGCCAGGGATCTTCACCAGCAAGACAGACGAAAACGTCACAGGAAGACGAAAGCACCATCCACTCTCAGACGAGACAGAGCACGAACACAACAATGGCTACAAGATGAGAAGGTAAAGAAACAGTTGCTAAACACCGGATCAACATGGTATCTCATGAATAAATTCCTTTTACATATTTACACCATCTCTACTTTCTAAGATAAACGTTTTATATCTACATTCAAAAGAGTTGAAAGTAAAGTCATTTCCTTTGCATTGTTAATGCACTCGTCGTTTTTACATCTTATGACATATTGTCACAGATAAGTATTCATGGAGAGAAGAAAAGTTCAGAAACGTCCATGACTCAGAATAATTCAGGCCAGCTGCCCAGACTGGAAGAACGTAAGTAATATCCGCATGAATCCTGGCAAACTGTTAACTGTTAACTGTCGTCATGTCCGGCCAGGGTTATCGGAAATCATCACGTCTTGCGATCAGAGGGTTCTTCATGGCGGTCTCATAATACTGCCACCTATTAGTAACGTTTGAAAATCAGAAACTATTGATTTTAGAAATTTTCACTGCAAGTCCAGACTTGGTAAGTTTCGTATAAATTTATATTTCGAGACGTGACGTCACAAATTTTACTGGCTTTGTCAAACCACTTATAGATACATCAATACCATTTTCCAGATATCATATCACATCAAGCTACCTTCAGTCTGGTTCCCGGGTCTGCTGCGCTACACTTGCCCGGGAACCAGGCTCCTCACCTCAGCATCTTTCACAGCTGTGAATCACACACACATATATGTACATTTGTTATTGTTTTTACCAGGTACCGCCCGCTCTTGCACCGCCTGTGTTGGCACTTTGCTTGAACACGCTGGTAGCAGCATTGACTTGATCGAACTAAAGCAGGTACTGTGTTATTCACTATTATACCTCACTTCAGTAAACAGAGTATGGTGTTTGTGATGTTTGTATCGTGTTTACTGAAGTATTGCCTGTCGTGTGGTATGGTTTGGTATGACAATCTGTAAAGATCTGTCAACAGCTTTCATTGTTTGACAGATATTTTACATTTAATAAATTTTTTTTATATATTTAGAGCAAACATTGACATACAGGTAACTATATAGTGAAAAGGTATTACAGACATAGATGCGTATATATACATAGTTATGACGCATTATTTATCCCACTATTGAACATATTTGTATTCTGAATTGAAACGTAAATATGGACTGACGTGGGTTTTTTTTCGTAATTAGAACATTGTCTTGGATTTGGGACCAGACCAGTTCCATGACGAAACAAGGACTATTTATGGAGCAATGGTTCATCTTCTTCCAAACAAGAAGGAATGGCAGCTGAAACGGTTAATGTAAGTTCTCCAGGCTGTTCATCAAGATATCAGGGTTTCATTGTTGTGCAATATGTTGTATAAATGGGGGCTTGTGACTTTAAAATAATTTGTTTCCCGTGATAGGAATGTAACATATGAACACAGGGGCTTGTAACCCTAGACACTGCCACCAAGGTATTTTCTGTCACTGACGGGGTTTTAGTACTAGTTTTTAGCTTTACAAGCCACTCTGCATACGAATATGATTAACCCAGAGGAATTTGTTTATCTGTCCAGAACAGTTCAGTGTTTCTTTACTGGGGCTTACTTTCTCAGGAGGGCGGTGGGGTCACACCGAAGACCAGGTTTCGATTGTCAACTTTGGCACAATGTGTGAAGACCATTTCTGGTGTCCCTCGTCGTGATATTGCTGGAATATTGCTAAAAGCTAAAACTAAACTCACTCACTTCCTCAGGCATGCCCCAGGTAATGGACGCCATGAGACATGTGTCCACAACATGGTCAGGGAACTGAAGGCCGAGGGCAAGAAGATGGGGCATCTGCTACACTATTTCTCCCAGGAGAAGACGAAGCGAGCGGATATCGTTAAGCTGATGACCCAGATACATCAGTGTGATTTCTGCACAAACATTGCAGCGGATGTCATCTGAGCTACATTTAAGACCACACTGGCTTTTGTTCATCGATGGCCTTTAGTATTTGATGGCCTCACTTCTTTCATTGTCGTAGTTGTTTAATCAGAATTATAAATATCAAGCCTTTGTTAACTACATTGATAGTTGTCAACATGCAGTAAAGCTTCATGCTAAAGTGTCTCCTTTATGAGCACATATGCACCCTCTCATCATAGTTTTGTCTGCTTTCGAATTAGGAGTATGTAAATTATCTTTAATTATTTAGATTACGGTTACAAATATATGTTTATTATGGTCCTTAGTCTCAAATGTAGGTTTACCTGGCAATAGATTATACAACGTGGATTCTGAACCAACATATGATGATGAATTTCAATATTCAGTTTAAAGAAAGAATTGCATCAGGCCTTGGCTTCTTCAGAGAAGCAGATTTCGACTGGGTTCCTGATGACGTGTGAAATATAGTTTGACACAGTGCGAATTATGTAACTGATAAGGTTCAGACAGTTTCCAAGTATTCGTCTTTTCTATTTGTTATGATTAAGGAAATGGTTTAGTCTTTTTTATTTGTGATGATTAAGGAAATGATATAGTCTTTTTTATTTGTGATGATTAAGGAAATGGTTTAGTCTTCTTTATTTGTGATGATTAAGGAAATATTTTAGTCTCTTATTTGTGATGATTAAGGAAATGGTTTAGTCTTTTATTTGTGATGATTAAGGAAATGTTTTAGTCTCTTATTTGTGATGATTAAGGAAACGTTTTAGTCTCTTATTTGTGATGATTAAGGAAATGGTTTAGTCTTTTATTTGTGATGATTAAGGAAATGTTTTAGTCTCTTATTTGTGATGATTAAGGAAATGTTTTAGTCTCTTATTTGTGATGATTAAGGAAATGGTTTAGTCTCTTTTATTTGTGATGATTAAGAAAATGGTTTAGTCTCTTATTTGTGATGATTCAGGAAATGGTTTAGTCCTTTATTTGTGATGATTAAGGAAACATTTTAGTCTCTTATTTGTGATGATTAAGGAAATATTTTAGTCTTTTTTATTTGTGATGATTAAGGAAATGTTTTAGTCTCTCTCATTTGTGATGATTAAGGAAATGTTTTAGTCTCTTTTATTTGTGATGATTAAGGAAATGGCTTAGTCATTTATTTGTGATGATTAAGGAAATGTTTTAGTCTCTTATTTGTGATGATTAAGGAAATAGTTTAATGTTTTATTTGTGATGATTAAGAAAATGTTTTAGTCTCTTTCATTTGTGATGATTAAGGAAATGTTTTAGTCTCTTTTATTTGTGATGATTAAGGAAATATTTTAGTCTTTTATTTGTGATGATTAAGGAAATGTTTTAGTCTCTTATTTGTGATGATTAAGGAAATATTTTAGTCTTTTTTTTGTGATGATTAAGGAAATATTTTAGTCTTTTATTTGTGTTGATTAAGGAAGTGTTTTAGTCTCTTTTATTTCTGATGATTAAGGAAATGTTTTAGTCTCTTATTTGTGATGATTAAGGAAATGGTTTAGTCTCTTATTTGTGATGATTAAGGAAATGGTTTAACGTTTTATTTGTGATGATTAATTACATGTTTTAGTCTTTTATTTGTGACCATTAAGGAAATGTTTTATTCTCTTTTATTTGTGATGATTATGGAAATGGTTAGTGGAAGGAAACATGTGTCTTTGTCAGCCAAGCTCACATAGATACGGCTAAATATCAGGATATTGTAGTGGTCCTTATGTACCTTTATTTGATCAATTAGATACTTTTACTAGTTACATTATTTTTGTATTGTGATGATTTATATCGTTTTCTAAACAGGCTTTTTTCAATGTGTGTTTCTTTGTGATGTAAAATCTCTCCTTTCTTATTCGCTATGTCAGATTTTTTTTTATAATTCAATAAAAAATAATCTTTGCTTATTAGCTAGCATTGATGCGTTTGTTTCTTGTTACTTTTACAAGATCGTACGTTTTGTTTGTGGTTGAAATCCTTTTATTGTCACAAAAGACAGCCTCCTGATATGCACATGTACATTAAATACAGTTTCAGTAGAAATAAACGAATTGATAAGAAATAACTTTCTTTGGGAAAAAATAACCAAGATCAAACTTCACTTCACTAAGTCGGACTATGGTTTCGGGTCCACTTGAAAAGGAAAAAGGCGGCCTTGTGGCATTATTTGGGAATTTTGTTAAATCAACTTACGAGCGGTAAACTGTGTCAGAGTGTGTCTGGAGTTTGAATCTTACCTAATTGGCTCTGTATTGTGAAATATGGTAATAAGGAACAAAATATTGGTGGAAGGGAGATAACTCCATTTTCTTTAGCGGTATGCAAGGTGAGCATGCTGCTGGATAAAGGGGAATAACTCTGGGGTTTTGAAGGATATTAGAAGGTTGTAAATTTTTCTCAAATATAGGCTCAACTGCACAGTATCAACAACCTGGACACTAACGCCAAACAGAGGTCGTATACCAACCCCCCCTTTTGTCCTGAAAGTTTATTAAATGACCATTGAAACTCGGGTGAAAATGAAGTGTGCACCCTACCTTTTTCTCCAATAGTGTGCACACCCACCCCCACCCACCCCACCCCCACCCCTCTCAAAAGCTGTATCCGCCCCTGTGGTGGTCTGTAAATAATCAAGTCTGGACCAGACAATCCAGTGATAAACAGCATGAGCATCGATCTACATAATTAGGATACGATGACATGTGTCAACCAAGTCAGCAAGCCTGACCACCCGATCCCGTTAGTCTATTTTACGACAAGCATGGTTTCTGAACATTAATTCTAAAACAGATCTTCACGGGTTGTGGGTATATAAGTGCTTCAATGGTGTCATCGTGTCACAATGCACAAAGTTTGCCTTCATGTTTCGATTCAGGAAGAACAGCCAGAAACAGCCAACTAAGCACTGTCACATTTAGACAGATACAACAGTTTAGCTTTCAATAAGCTGCAGTTGCAATGAGCCAGATGAAGCGACAGAGACCTTGGCTATCTGCAATGGTGCATGCCTCTTTCACACAGTTCCTCAGACTGTTTATTGTCTGATTATTATATGGAGACCTTTAGCTTGTAATAGAGATAAGATGAAGCTGATGAGGCTAGCCTTAGCGTTGTACGCATACCAGATGAAAGACTACACAACGCATAATGTGGATGACAATGAGCGCAGTGTGGATGGCGCCGACGGGACCGGATATATAGTTTAGCTATTTGCAGCCCTCCGCCGTGGAAAAGCAGACGGGCAAAGCATAGGCAAGTTTGTACTTCCTCCCTTGGGGATAGCAGTAAGGCATTGCACTTCTTCCTCCCGCGGAGACAGCAGGCAGGAAAAGCAGGCTGGTAAGGCTAAACTTTGGTACTTCCTCCCTTGCGGAGACAGCAGGCAATAAAAGCAGGCTGGTAAGGCATTGGAAGGTTTGTTCTTCCTCCCGCGGAGACAGCAGACAGGAAAAGCAGGCTGCTAAGGCATTGGAAGCTTTGTACTTCCTCCCGCGGAGCCAGCAGGCAGGAAGGTTTTGGCTGCACTGTAAAGGTAGGAACCAAGTATCCATATTTTAAACTGATTTGGTGTTACGTCCCGTCGGCACCATGCCAAACGGCCCACATGCTGCCCTGCTGCTGGACGGCGGTCGGGGCTGCCATCCACAATGAGTTAAACAGTTAAAGGGGGAGTAGGGGATAGGGCGCAAAGAGGTTTCTCTAATGCTTAGTTGCCATGCAGTGCTGCAGAATGGCCCGATGTTGGGCCGCCATGCCCAGCTTGGATAAGTGCACTCCGACGAGGTACTGGGCGAAGGCCCAGGCTACGTCGCTGCAGCCCGAGGTGTTATAACTGGAGCCAGTCACCCACGATGGCCATGCAACCTGTTAAGTTATATGTCATGTCTGGAGATGTCCTAGGAAGACTCCAGATAACATGAAACTGTGGTGGGAGACGAGACACTTTATTCCATGTTGGTTTTGCCTTGGCCTACACAGACGCACGCTGCCCATGGACCAGTCGTTGTGTACAGACTCTTAGGGAGTAATCATTATGCAACATCTCCCTTTCTTTAGAAAAGTAAAGATAGCAATTAACACTATCAGCAAACGAATTTAAACAAATGCTAAACAAGTTAAAATGAACAAATTAAAGTCTATATCTCTTTCTTGAGAAATTAAAGTTTTTGCTGAAAAGCAGGACCACACGTCATATCTTCCTCCTTTTTTTTCTTTTAAGGCACAAAGTCCTGTATCCCAGGGTGGTGGTCTGACCACCCCTGCCTCCTCTCGTTCTGATCTCATGACCAGGTGCTGTGCCATGAACAGAACTGTCCATGATCTAGGAGTGTTCACAGGAGTGTTCACATCAAAGTCTACAGGAGTTTTCAAAATTTTTCTGGGAGTTTTCACAAGGGTTTCACAGGAGTGTTACCAGGAGAGTTCACAATTGACTGAAACTCTTTGTCGTGACCTTTCATCCATTCTCTGCTCTTCCAAATCCAGTTCGACATCTTTAGTCTCAGGGGCAGTCTCTTGAGATTTTCTTAGATGACGTCTATTTCTCCAGAAGAGATCTTCCATCTTCTGTACGTATGTCATACGATCGTACATCCACTTGCTGTTCTACAACAGCTTTCTTCCATTTCTTTTTGTCGACTGAACCCGGCTTCACCGGAACTATCTCCATCTCTCAGTTCTGAAAGTTCAGCTGCACCGCGATGTGTAGTAGTAAAGCTTGTTTGGACCTCTTGCTTGAAAGTGCGGCAGGGACGTTTTCAATAGTTTTTGGCTGCAGCAATCGACTTGACGTTGGTAGCCGTTCTCGTTCTCGCTTAAACAACCTTTGAACTGGCGAGCTGCCTACACCGTCGCCAGTCGGCACATTTCTTAAGTCAAAAGGGCCAGAAGGGTCTGACTGTGCATGCTGAAGACTTACTCATGGGTCTTTTGACGATCTTCACAGCACTCTCCACTTTCCCATTCGACTGTGGGTACCTGGGTGATGAAGTGATATGGTCAAACTCATACTCTGTTGCAAATGTATGGAAAGCTTCAGAATTAAAGGGAGGTCCATTGTCTGACACAATCTGATTGGGAAGTTAATGCCTCGCCAAATGGGATTTCAACTTTTTAATGATTTCAGGTGCCCTTTTATCATGCAGTCTGTCAACCTCAAAATAGTCAGAGTAGTAGTCAACAGTTTCTCCCATGGACGACTAGGTATTTCATGACTGACCAATGGCTCTCGTCTTTGATCCTGTTGCAGCGTATTGCAAGTATCACACTTGCTGATGAAATCTGTGAGGTCAGCGGCCATATTGGGCCAATACACAGACTCTCTGGCTCTTCTGATACAACCTTGTATCCCCAAGTGACTGTAGTGAATTCTTTCCATGATGCCAGGGCGGATACTGACTGGCACAACAACACGTTCACCCTTGAACACTATGCCGTTTTGAACAGAGAGCTCATCGCGAAAGGGGAAAAAGACCCTGGCACACCATGGCACATCATCTGACGACGTTGGCCAGCTGTCCTGAATCAGATCCTTCAGTATCGTCATTGATTTGTCTTCCAGAGTTGCTTTTTGTAACTGGTCAATTCGTTCCTCAGATATTGGCACATACTCAACCATGTTGATGGATTCAACGTCAAAAGCTGTCTGACATCGAACATCAACAGCAAACTGTATCTCCGTCATCAGTCTCAGTATGTTTCACATGTGGAAGATATGCTCTACTCAGAGTGTCAGCAAAAGAACATTTGAGATCCCGTTTTGTAGATGACCTCAAAATCGTACTTCTGAAGTCATTACATCATGCGTTGGAGACGCTTCAGAGCACACAACAGACTTTTGCGCAGTATTGACTCCAATGGCTTTGTGGTCCGATTCCACGACGACCTTCCGTCCGTAGACATACTGTTCAAATCGTTCCATGCCAAAGACAATCGCCAGCATTTCTTTCTCTGTATCTGAGCATATTGTTTCTCAGTGTTGGTCAAGATCGAGATGCATATGCTACAGGCCGACCATTTTTGGATCAGACAAACTGCCAGTCCATTTTTGTGATGCATCACGCTGAAGGCTTGTCTCGCCGGTCATTGTCAAAGTACTTCAGTACAGGTGGTTTTCAGACAGAATATGTTTGATTTTTCCAAACAATTGCCATGAACTTGCTCATCCACCTGAAGTTCATCGCTTTCAGCAGATCCTCAGAGGTGCAGTCACTTCAGACAGGATTGGGTACAAATTTCTGAACAAAGTTCACCATCCCTAAAATGCCTGAATACCCTTAACTATCAGTTGGTGTGGGCATGTTTGTGCATTGCTTCAACTTTCGTGTGATCAATCATTTAATCCATCACGGACGCATTACGACATGTCCCAGATGAGCACCTCAGTCAGTTTCAGTTTCAGTCTCTGGATCTGTTCAGTTTGATATTTCTGTTCCTGCATCGATCAAGGAACTTTGACAACTTCCTCATCATGATCAGCTTCAGCCACTTCATAAGTGTCTCAGCAACATAGATCAGAACATCATCATGTACAGCACGTACTCCATCCAAATACATATTGCCTCATTCAAACGGCGCTGAAACTCCTCAGGTGCTGAAACTGACAACCCGAA